ATAAAATTCTGAAGCTGCCAAACAAGGGATGGCCAGCATCGGGATCGGAATCATGTGATCGCGAATGTTTTCTGCCAGGATTAGTCTACTATTACTTCCAAATTATATCATTAACTATCCCGAATAGCGAATTTATGGGATAATCATTTTTTGCTGTTAATCTTGGACCAAGTTATTTAAGGAAGTGCTTGAGAAGCTTTCAACAACTTATCTCAATCAAATCCACAAATGTCTGGTACAGGGCTAGCTCTTGTAGAACAGGAAGCACTTGGCTCCACGAGAACGATGCAGATATAACGGCATACCAAACAGCTTTTTTGCAAGGGTGTGGTTGCTAGAGAGCGCCAAAAATCGGTATGTTTAGCTAAAAGACATATTTACCGTTGAAGATTTTTCACTAAAACTCTTAGTTCCTCCGTTGTTCTCAAATCTTTTAAAATAGGAACTTGAAATAAATTTTAACAAGCGTGTTTCAGATAAGTATCATTTTCGGCAAAAGGATACAAGGGACTTCCGACTATGTGCTAAATTCGAGTTATTACCCGTCAAAGCAAAAATAAACTCGCTATATAATTTGCGAATTGTTCTTGCATTCGATTATACTAATTATACAGTGACTCTCTTATAGTGTACCCCCTTTATAGTGAAGACTAATTAAACTCACGATATAGTGGATAACATCCAAAACTGCCTCTAATAAAATCCACTCGATATAGTAATTTACCAAAAACTCTCAATAAAGTGGAAAATTTTTCATCAATACATGTAGTTACTGTGTACTATGTGTCAGAATCACAACAATGTCTATCACATATGCACGCAGTAGAACCCATTCTGTTCGTATGACTGATTACTTTTTTTTCGGAAATCTAGTGTTGGGGTGGTGAGGATTAGTATGTACTAAGGGGGCGACAAATATTAGCTAATATGCTAAAGGGAGGGTGAAGGGAGGATGGCCAAATCTCAGGTATTAATATAATCTCACGTGAATGTGTTAAATGAAATCTCGGGAGGGGGAGGATCCCTATAACAAAATGGATATTAGCTAATATTTGCCATTCCCCTAACTTTGGATTGCAAAGTGAGCATCCAGCTGAAGGTATTGGCCGACCGTTCTATAAGTGGATCTTGACTTCGGAATGATCCTAGAATATATAAACTGCTCGATAAAACTAAGTAATTTTTCGCCCACCCGTTTTAATTTTTTACCTAATTGAAAAATAATTTCTCACCGAATTCATCAGATTAGCAGTGAATCGGATAAAGACTCACAAGTTGAGAACTCTTCAGAGAATACTCCTTTTGCAAGTCCACAATTAGGAAATCCCGAGAACTATCCACTTCGTCCACAACTGCTGAAGACGCTTGCGCTATACATTCTAAAAGATCACCCAGAAACCCTTGCCAGTGGTGTCGAGATTCTGAAACCTATAAAATGTACGATATGCGACGTCGAGATCATTTACCACACTAATCTGTGATCACACGTTTCATAGAGAAAATATTTTGCTTACAGTCCAAAGCGCATGCTCAATATGTAAAAATAAGTTGAAATCGTAAAAATGGTGGACCTATAAGACAATCGGAGCTTCACACGGCATAATCAATACTGACTCTCTAGTCTCTAACGATAAAGTTGCAAAGTACGAGCTTACTTAGTTCACCAAGTATGAGTGTAGATGGTTCGTCAAAATTGCCTTCACAACTACCCCCAGCAACTCGGTATATTGTCCAATCAAACTACAATCGATGATAAATCCAGTAGAAAACAAAAAAAAAAACGGAAAAAAGGGATAATCACCTCGACTATGTTAAGCTCATTCTGCCAACATCCACTCCGACAGAAGACGTCGATTTTATTCCCCTATACAACAAAATTTCCCCTGCCGAAGCCCAAAATGATAGAACGAGCCGAGATGTCATAAAATCTTATTACGATTTCGGAGGTTTATCACCACGTTATAAATCCCATAAGAAAACCAACCGAAAGCGTCCATCTCTGATCCTGGTTAATAATGAGGTGAGGTTAGAAATCAAAGGTATACCGATGATATACTTTATAAAAAACGAGAAAGGGCACGGAAAATATACGAACTCTTTGACAATATCGGTAAAAATAAAATGGAGTGCGTCAAAACATTTTCAGCGGTCCCCATTTCGAAATTAATCTGGGATGAAATCGATTATATCATGACACACGAAAAAATGTAATGTATTTGATTTGTGAAACAATCCTCATATTATTTTCTTTTTTTCTGATCCCCGTCTTCAGCTCATGAGGTGAATTATAATACATTACGCGATCCATTCGTATCATTTGCCTCTGGCAAGATTCCTTGTTGAATAAGAGTATTGTGTCTGGAATAATCTATTCGACTCATGGCTAACCTGTGATTCTGTTGAGATAAAAACGAAAACGACATTGGCCACTTCTTTCAATCATAGATTAACAAATGAAAGGTGAATATATTTACGTTTCTATTATCTTTTTTCGAGCAAAATGTGAAAAAAGTGGCCCTGATCCAAAAAGTATACATACCCGCTTCGACCAGATACTCGCAACACCGCTCCCATACTTCCCAACACAGCATCAAGATAGTCCTAACCACTCAATAGTGATGGTTCCATTCTTCAATCTACTCGTTTACACCAGCGTTGCATTTGGCGGTAATGAAGTCTAGCTATGCGTCTATGCGTCGAGTAAAAAAGAAAAGCGCTTTTGGATGGTTCCTCGTTGCACATGATCACCGGATTTATGTGGTTAATTTCATAGGCTAAAAATGGGCGAATTAACGTTAATACATTATTCTATATCAAATTATTTCCGCGTGGTACAACAAAAATATTGACAAAAGATCAAAGCATATAAAACAAGCCGGGGCATTATTACAGAATTCAAATAATGTGTATATAATTGGCAAATAATTTACATTGTTTTTCATGCCATAATTGTGAAATGGGATCATGACTTTGATCCTAGAAAAAATACTCACAAAATAACAAGGCATGCTGAATATACACACAAGTTTTTTCCATGTAATGAAAGTTATAGGTTTCTCAGATATCCTTATGTTTGGTGATGCACATCACTTTTGTCAAAGCAGGAAGACCATCTGATCAACTCAGAATATGAACACATAATTTTGTATTTTTGAATTATAACATTATGTAAATAAGATAATAATAAAACAAGCTAATTATCTAGTTTATTAACCAAAAATGAATTAAGATTCTTTAGTAATTTTGAATCTGAAAATACTGTAATAATTATATATATAATAATATAATAATATAGTAATTAATTTGAAATATGTTTTTATATTTTTACTAAGATTATTCTAATAAAAAAATTGGTTCTTAATATCTAATCAGATCATTTTATTTAGTTAAGTCAAAAAAAATATTATTTGTTATATAATAGAATATTAAATAGCTAATAACAATATTTTACTAAATATACATTATTTATATTGTTATGATATGAATATTTAGTTATTATTGAATTCATATCATAATATAATTGGACAATACTTTGTTATATTTTATTGATTAAAACTTATTTTAATTTGATTGAACACTCAATTAGTATTTTATTATTAATTCTGAATTGTATTTAATAAAATTAATATTTATATAAATAAAATAATTAATAAAATTAATAATTATAATATTTATATTAACAAAATTAATAATATTAACAAAATTAATAATATTAACAAAATTAATTTATAAATTAGTAATATAAGCAAGTATTATTGATAATTATTATAAATATAATATATATTTTAGCTAGAAATAAATGAATTTCTTAAATTTTAAATTTTTTTATATTAAATTTTAGATAATTTAATAGATTTTTTAATATATAAAACTTTATAAATAATTTGTAAAATATTTTAAGTTATATTTTGTATTAGTTTTAATCTTGAAATAAATTATTTATAATAAATTACTTAGATTTTTTAATATATAAAACTTTATAAATAACTTGTAAAATATTTTAAGTTATATTTTGTATTAGTTTTAATTTTAAAAAATAAAGTATTTATAATAAATCACTTAGTTATTAACTTAAAATTATTTAAAAAACTTATTATAATTTTTTAAATTATAATAAAACTTAATAAAGTTAATAAAGTTATTGAATATTATTTTAGTTATTATAATATAATACTTAAGTTTTTTTATTTTAGATTTATTTTTTTAAATAATATATAAATAACTTGAAACTTATAAAAATAATAATAATATTTAATTTAATAAATATATAAATAATAAGTAAATAACTTAAAACTCATAAAAATAATAATAATATAAAATATTAATAACTTATTTGAAATAAAAATTTAATTAAAAATAAAAAAATAATATTTCATAATTTATAATTAAATTTCTCTATAATTATATTTTTTTGTATTTATATTTTTTTATAGTTACTTTATTTTACTTTTCTATTTATATTTTATAAAAAAAACTTTCCAGAAAATGATTCAAAAAATTATTCAGATTTTGTTAAAAATAAAAATAAAATCTATTTTTTTTGAAAAAATCTGAATAATTTTCTGAATTTTTTAAAATATTTTCAAAAAAAAATAATGTTTTTTTTCTAAAAATATCCAGATATTTTTCTGAATCTTTTTTTAAATTTTTTAAATTTTGAAAATTTACTGAATTAATTGATAAATTTTTGATTTAATTATAAAAATTTTTGCTCTTTTCTAAAAGAAATTTGATAAATTTTTGGATTTTTTTGCTATATTTTAAACTATTTCTGGAATTAACTTCTTTATATATTTTATAATATTTCATTATATTTTAATCCATTTCTGAAAAAAATTAGTAATTTTTATAATTTTAATTTATTAATTAGTACATTTTGTTATATTTTCTAATATATTTTATTATATTTTTTGATTTTTTCCTAAAAAAATCAGTATTTTAATTTATTAATTAATATATTTTATTATATTTTCTAATCTATTCCTAATAAAAATCAGTAATTTTTTAATTTTAATTTAATAATCAGTATATATTATTATATTTTCTGAAAAAAACTTTTTTAAATCTAAATATATTTTAATATATTTTTTTATTAATATATATAATAAATAATTATTTTATTATAATAATATATATATATATAAAATAAGAATATCTAAAATAATAATTTATTATTATTATATTAAAAAAATATTATTATATAATTAACAAATATAATCAAAAAAAGAATATAGTAAATAATCAGATAAAAAATGATAATTAATTTACTTATTCTTTTTTTCTCTTTCTATTTTTTAATCTTAGATTTTCTTTTTCACTTATATTTTTCTTTTTTTTAAAAATTTTTTTTAGCTTAATTTAAATATTAATATTTCTTTTAGTGAGTCTAACCAATTTTCTTATTAATAGTTTACTATATCTTCAATTACAATTCTTTTTTGTTGCTAAATTATTTAAAAAATAATTAATAATATTTATAAATATCAATTATATTTTAAAATACTTATATGTAGTTTTGATTATAGTTATTATAGTTTTAGTAATCAAGTCAAAAATATATTTGTAGTATCACTAAAACTTATTATTATAATTACAAATATAAAAATCTCTTATAATCATTCTTTTTAAATTCTTTTTTAATAAGCTTTATATTTAAATACAAAGATATAAATCAAATTTTAAAATAAAATTTCTAGAAATATTTATAATTTGTCTTGTACTTCTTAAATTTAATATTATTAAATCAATTAATTAGTTGTTCTTTAGTTTAGCTAATATATGCTCAATAATAATAATATCAATAAGTAAGTAACTTTTATTTTTTCTTCTTTGTTAGATAAAATATTTATTCTTGAATTATTTGCAAAGCTGAAGAATGAAATTTAATCAGAGAATAAAATTAAATCAAAGGATAATATCTGATTATTTCTTTTTCAAAATAATATTATTGATTTTTTTTTAATTAATTGATCAGAAAATTTGATAAATTAATTGAAAAAGAATTGTAAATTATAAATATAGACGTATACATCTCTATAAAAATTTCAGAAATAAATTTATTTATTTTGAAATCTAATATCTCAACATTTAGTAATTTATTCAAATAAAGATATTATCATTAGATTCATCTCAATTATACAAATCTAATAGTAATATTTTTATTTTAACAAAATTATTGGATATTGAAATATTAGATTTCAAAGTAACAGATTAATTTTTGAAATTTTCAATCATACTATAGAAATATATATATTCAAAAATAAATCTCTTTCAAAAAAAATAAAAAGGATAAAAAATATTATTACAAGTCAAACTTCTGATAAATATTATCATAATATAAATTTTTAACTAATTTTATTTTTGTTTTTAATTACTAGTTTTCAATTTGATTATTTTGGAATTAATATATAATATATCTTTTTTATTTACTAATATTATTATTACTAATAAATATATCTTTGTTATTTACTTAATATATAAATAATTCTATAGTAATATAATACTAATATTTTATAGTAATATACAATAAATATTATTATTTTAATATTATTATTATTTAGTTAAATTTTATATATTTTTAATAAAAATATTTTATTAAAGATATTTTATTTAAGTTATTAGTTGAATTAATAAATAAATTTATAATAATTTTGATAAAATAAATATCATCTAATTAAATAAAAAAATTACTCAAGCAGTATTTCTTTTATTAATAAAAATTTTTAATCTAAAAATTGTTGATATTTGTGAAAAATTGAAAAATTCAAAAAGAAATCAACAAGAATTTGGTTTATTAGAAAAATTTAATCCAACAAATTTTGTTTTAGAAGATAAACTAAAATATAAAATAAAAAAAAGAAATTTCAAATTAACTATTACTTTAAATTAAAGAAAAATAAGAAAATCAATAATCTTAAATATTTAAGTAAATAAAAATTATAATATTTTAATATAAATTTTAATATATCACATAATTTATTTTAATTAAATAGTTAATTTATATATAATTTATAGATTATATTTTTTATTTTATATTATTCATATTTTATTTATAATATCTTAATTTATTTTATATTATTTCATAATATTATATTAAATAACTTAAATATAAAAAATATATGTTAATTAATTAATATTATCTAATTTGATTAATATTATTATAAATTTTGTAATATTAAAATAAGTAATATATAGTGAGCAAGTGAACAAGTAAAATAAGCAATGCTTTTTATATAATAATAATATTGTTATCATTTTACTTGGATTTCAAATATATTATATCTTCTTACGTGCTCAACACGTGTTTCAAGTCAGGTGGAAGAGATAAAATAATTAACTAAAGGTTAGTGACATGTATTCAATAAATTACCAGTCACTAAAAAGTGACTTAAGAAATCTTCTTATAATTTAATGTGTATTTAATAATTACGACGATGATTTATAGACAAGTAAAATATTATAAATTCAATTTATTAAATCATTCT